ATGCGTCTCCTGGACGCGGAAGGGGTGGAGTACATCGGGAGGAGATTGAGGTTAGACGGGGATCGTATTCTGGTGGATCAAGAAAAATACATTTTAGAGCAACTCCAGAAGATCCCTCTGGCCCGCGGCAGGAAAGGAGACCACGGGGCCCCTCTGCTAGGAGGCGAAGTCGCAGCCTTTAGGTCCCTTGTCTATAAGCTGCAGTGGGTAGGTCGCGAGACCAGGGCGGGGGCCGCCGGCGCGGCTTCCATATTAGCCACGAAGGTCAACCGCCCTTGCGTTCGCGACTTGCTCGATGCCAACAAGATGGTGGATCATCTCCGCTCGACGGCCTCGCTTCCCGTCATCGTGCGGCGTTTCAAGCCGGACGGATTCGTCCTGGCGACTGCCAGCGATTGCGGTGGAGTGGGGGCGGAGGACAAAGATGGTCTGCAACATCCTCAGGAGGCGTGGCAGATATATGTTGCCGACAATTCCCTGGCCCACGGGTCCCGGGCCCGCGTCACTCCGATCGCGTGGAGGTCTGGGAAAGTCAGGCGACAGGTATCTTCCACCCTCGCTGGGGAGACCCTTTCATTGTCCAGCGCTCTAGGAGAGGCCGAGTGGTTTCAAATATTGTTGCTGGACGTAGTTCGAGGAAACGTGGTCCACGAAAGGTGGAGAGAGCACATAGGTCCTTTCGTCGCCATCTTAAAGGACGAGTGCCAGGTTCTTGGGGAGCCACAGTCCGGGAACCTGAGCGTGGTCGACGCAAAGGGTATACACGACACGCTCTCAAAGCTCACGGCGGGGTCCAAGTCGGACCGGCGGGCAGCCATAGACTTAGCGGTGGCCAGGACATCTATGGAGAAAATCGGAAGCGCGATCCGGTGGATGCCGCATCCACTGATGCCTGTAGATTGTATGACCAAATCGGATCTAGCCAAGACTAATGCCGCTCAGTTGACTATGCTCAAGTCAGGCATGCTCCGTCTTTCGGCGGAGGAATCCGCTATCCAGGAAAGAAAGGAGGACCCCAGGACCAAGGGACTTTCCAGAGCCGAATCGAGGCGACAGCTCCAGTAGGCTTCCCCGCGGTGCGCTGTCTCCTCCCACCTTTTTGCTCTGGGCACCCTCCGAGGCGCAGCCGACAAGGGCTCCATGGCGCGATCAGCGCTAGAGGAGCTCTTTCAATTTTGCCTCTGCGTCCGACTCTCGCAGCGCCGGCGACTGCCTTTTCTAGGAACGCCATCTGGCCAGAGAGGAGCGACCTCGCGCTCCAAGTGCGCTGTTGTTGCCGGTGCAAGAGAGAGTTGCCACGGGTACGAGGACGGAGTCCCTTGTGCCACGTCGTGTTTCACTCGTTTCAGATGACCCTCCAGGCAGAGTGGATGGTCTGGTCCTCATCACTTCAAGCTCACTGTTTTTCGGGGCACTGTGCGTTTGAGTGCCTCTGGCGTATGACTTTGGTGAGTTCACAAAGTCCTTGAGCTTGAAAGTGTTTACAGGTGAGGGGACCGGACCATGACCACTTTGGCTCAAGTCCTTTCTCTCTTCACCAGGCCCGATCCGACCCATTCCCATACCCTTCCCATTATCCTCTCATCCCTTTCTGTATATACCTGGAGGGTCACCGTGCTGATAGACGGACGCCTGGGGGTTGCCGAGTCAGGGTTTAGCCAGGAAAGAGCACCATACACTTCGTCAACGTCATCGTTCAGGGAACAACGGCCACTGCTTTTCTTCTGTTGCCGCCTTCCAGCCCGCAGAAACACAGCAGCGGTTGTGGTCGTCTTCGCTGAGCCTGGCACTAGGGAAGTGACCACAACCACTGCTTCTTGTTCGGCCGGCTGGAAGGCGGCGCAAACAAGAAGCAGTGGCTGTGGTCATCTGCGCAGATTTCTCGCGTCGGCGACGCCATCCCCCAGCGTGGCCTCCGGCGCCGCCCCTGGCGTGGCGCGCCAGGGGCTCGGGGGGTCCAGCGCCGAACCAAGAAGTCAGCGCGGACAAGTTTCTCTCGTTCTCTGTCTCTTCTACGGGATGCGGAATATGGCTATGATGATGAGGATGACGAGGAGGAGGAGGAGGAGGAGGAGGAGGAGGAGGAGGAGGAGGTGGAGGTGGGTGGAGGAGGAGGAGGAGGAGGAGGAGGGAGGAGGAGGAGGAGGAGGAGGAGGAGGAGGGAGGAGGATACTCGAGCAAACGCGAAGTATGTCCCCCTTTGATCCTTTTTTTTGCATGCGTGCGTTGCTCAGCATCTGAGTCGCCCTATGGCAGCGGGCAGGCAGTCCGCGTGGTATCTACACCGTACGAAAGTGGTAAGAAAAAAATGGGAGGGAGCTGGGGTGCAGGAGGAAGAGGAGGAGGAGGAGGAGGAGGAGGAGGAGGAGGAGGAGGAGTACCAGTAATTAGGAACAGGACGAGGAGGAGGAGCTGGGATAGGAGGAACGAGCGCGAGTTAGTCAGGTCGAACGAGTCAGCGGGCCCAGCCCACTCCCACCTCCCCCCCTCCCATGGCATA